TCCTGGTCCCTCAGGATTTTCAAAATCTGGATTTACAAAATTCTACTTAAATCAAATCTTGGGTGCTACAAAGCAGCCCCTAACAGTTGCAAATGTCGAAGTGTTACACATGTGGCCAATGGAGTTAATTAGTTTGCGAGTACAAATGATTTGAGGGTATTGAATTCATCTAGGGGCAGGTAAATTAACAAAAGTTGCAATGCTAGCTAGGAATTTCCGTGTGCATAATACAAATTAAGTGACAATAGGCCACAAAAACTAAGAGATAAAAGCATATTTCAATATTTTTTCCCTGAATTGAACAAAGAGTAAATGATTCAAATGAAAAAAAATGCCATGTGAGTATATACTAGTTATACGAACATGATAAAATTGAGCTACTTGTTAGTTTTTAATTTCTTTTGAAGTGTTTAACATAAGAAAAAAAAAAGAAATAAGATAATTATTAAGAACAACTTACCATGGACTTCTTCAAAAACTTCGAGCCATTCCTTCCTTTAATTACTCCAACATTCATAATAAATCCTATTAAATTATTTGTTCTAGTTTTGATGTATGTATATATATTAATTTTGTATATTTTTAAAAACTCTTCAATTGATTGGAGTTGAAATTTAAGATTGACAAGGATTGCCTTCCTCTTCCTGAGAGTGCTTACAAACTTGCTATACATAACTATGAAGTCAAGGGGAAATTTAGATCAAATATTAATTCTAAATAGGTGCCACATTACTTGATTATTTGATTTGTCTTGTTCGTAAAATTAAATGGTCTGCGTTCACAAATTACTTGCACTGTTCACAAAACACAAATAACTATTTCAGATGTACCATAAAAGATTCAAACTGTAAAATATCAATGAAGAGAAATCACTGATATGTCTTTCAAAAAGAAAAAAAAAACCAATATTTTGCTTACCTTCAGAATTTAACATAAAGCAAACAGTTGAACAAAAATTTTTTTTTTTTTTACAACAAGTACATGTGAAAGGGAGAAAGATGGTTACCTTCATAGTGACCAAACTCCTGTCTTGCTTAACTTCTAATCCCACAAGCAAGAACATTGTCGAGGGTGGCGGAGACGAGTGGCTAGGGGTTGGGGTTTGACAGCTAAAGGAAGTAAGAAAGGCTACTTTCGTTGCAAGCAAGCTCCTATCGTCGCCCTTGGTTCTGATCGAATAGAAGAATGGTGAGAGGTGTCACTTCAAATTTGTGAAGAGGTAAGGAGGCGAAGGAGGGAGTTGTCGTATCTACGATTTTAGAGGATTACTGGTGAGCGAGTCCCGAGCGTGGTGAGATGAGATAGAAGGAGAGGAGTGGTCTGATAGAAGGGAACTTGGGGAGGATGAAGCAGTTCGTAGATAGCAAGGGCATTAACGTATTTATCAGAGCTGCGAACAGCGGGAAGCAGTCGAACCGCAGGAGGTTTCCTCGGCATGTGAGAAGCAACTGCAGGACGTGAAATAGTCGAGAACGGAGCAGGATGAGGTAACCCCAAACGTTTGGTAAAATACAACAGGGAAAAATCCGCCCCAAACACACCCTTAGTTCATTTTAATGCAAATTTATAGGAATTTTTTTAAACAGCCTTTTCCCTAAAACTTCTAGACATAAAATCATTTTATTTTAATTTAAAAAGTAATTAATTTTTTCACAAATATATTATTAAATTCAAAATTATCTGGACTTGCGGGACAGCTCAGTGGTTGAGCTCTCGTTCGATCCCTAAATGGCCCCAAAAAAAAATCAAAATTATCCATAAATCACGTAAAATTATACTAAGAAAATTAAGTTGAAAGAGAATAAAAAAAGTAAAGAAATAAACTATAATTTTAGAGTAAGATGCTCTAAAATTTTCGTTAATTATGCTCTATTACCAATTTAATTAAAATTAATTGACTTTTATTGAATAATAATATAAGCTAATTTCATTACTCACATTTTAATATAAATATAAAATATAATACAAAAAATTAATTTCTATATTCATGAGTACGAATGAAAATTAAATTTTGTATTAGCGCCTCCTTATAAATTCTTTCTAACTGAGCTCCTTCTCTTCTTTTTAGTTACTCTCCTTCTCGTAATTTCGCCCTTAATTTATTGGCTTTACACAAATTATACAAGTAGTTTAATGCATGTCGCTTTATTTTCTTAAATCATGCACGCATATATATACAAGCGCTTGCATGTAAATTATTTTAATCAGAGGTGTATACAAATCTGAAAAAAACTAAAATTATTGATTAACAAAGATAAGCTTTGCAGCATTGGACTTCGAATTTAATTACATGTGCTCAAATATTATATATTCAGAAAAATTTTAAAGAAGTTTTCAGATTATTTGTATAAGATCAATTTAGTCTCAGAATATTATGTTGCCCTATTTTAATCCATCAATTATATAAAATTGATCAAAAATAGTTTATCATGTTATAATTATGATATAAAATTTATAATAATTTAGTCTATCAGCATTATGCAATTGATCTTAATTTAGTCTCAAAGCGATAAATTTGGATCAATTTTGTATAGTTTATGAATTAAATTTGAGCAATATTATATTCTGAGACTACCACCAGTAAGTTAACAGCCAACTATTCTACAATTGAGCTATTGAGGAACAACGGGAGATTCGACCTTGTAGAGTTCAACATCTGTTTTCAACCCATGAACAATATGAGTCCAAAGCTTCATTTGTAACTTCAAAAACTTCTTCGTAGTAGCTCCATTCCATGCTTCATTTCATAGGGAATCTTAATGTGGCACTATTGCATCATATTCCAATTCCATTTATTCCATATCCCATTTGTTTCATTGACATAAGAGATGTCATTTATAGTTGATATGTCATGAAAAAATTATATTGATGGGGCTCGAATCTGGAGGCAAAAATCAAGCCGAAAACTTCAAAAATTAAATCTGGGATCATATGAACTCCAATTTCATAAAACTTATAGTCGAACTGAGCATCTCGGAAATACAAACCCAACGACACCAAATTCAACTCAATCCGAACCCAAATGAGTCCAAATCAAGGACCTGAAGCGCTGTTGGAAGGTTCGAATCACAGTTTGAGCTACCAAAAGGTTTCCAAACATGACGTGCTTATACTCGAATCGAGCGGCTCGATGAGATGAATCCAACAAGCCCAAGATCGCCAAATTCCAACACCATTAAGACCTTCAAATGTATGACAAACGGTCCATGATTAAGGGATTCAATATCGACCTTCCATTGAACCACTCCACATTTGTCCCTGGTCTCTCACCTATTTATGGGATATGTCACTCCAAAAAAATCTATAAATAGACCCTCATTTCGCTTGAAAAGGGATCCAAGCAAGAAGAGAAGAAGATAAGAGAAGAAGAAGCTCCTCCTCGACCATCACTGGAGTTTCGTCGGACTATCGTCGGACCTTCGCCGGACCACCGCCTGACGTTATTGCTCCGCCGGACCACCACTTGAGGCCCTCACCTCCGCCGGACCACCTCTTGACGCCGTTGCTCCGCCGGACCACCACTTGAGGCCCTCACCTCAGCCAGACCACCGCTTGACGATGTTGCTATGCCGGACCACCACTTGAGGCTCTCACATCCGTCGGACCACCGACTGACGCTGTTGCTCCACCGGACCACCACTTGAGGCCCTCACCTCTACCGGACAACCTGTGAGACCTCGTTCCTTTGCTGTAACTGCTGGGAAAAGTGATTTTTCCCCAGGATCGGTCGGGACGATGGTGAGATCGTCCAGGCCGATCAGTGCATTGAAAACAGTTGATTTCTGGAATGTTCTCTGGAGTGATTTTTGGACTGAATCGTCCGGGACGATAGTGAGATCGTCCAGGCTTGTTTCGCCGGACCACCACTTGAAGCCCAGACTTCTACCGGGCCACCACTTGACGCCCGGACTTCTATCGGACCACCACTTGAGGCCTCTACTTCTTGCGGGCCACCACTTGACGCCGAGAGTTCTCCCGAAGTATCGCCCTTCTACTACGATCTTTCTGACCCCGATCTCCTGTCGACTACGGTCATTCTGATCTCTGTCATCTACTATGGTTTTTCCGACCTCCATCACTAGACAACGATCTTTCTAACCCCTGTCTCCAGTCGACTACGCTCCTTCAGACCTCCGTCACCTACTATGGTCCTTCTGACCTCCATCAACAGAAAACGGTCTTTCCTATCCCGGTCTCCTGTAAACTACGGTCTTTTGGACCTCTGTCTGCTGCTAACTACGATCCTTCCGACCTCCATCACTAGACAACGGTCTTTCCGACCTCCATCATATCGACTATGGTCATGCCGATCAAACAAACACATCTATTGTAACTCCCACCATGTAATGCACTCCATATGATGTACATTTGTGACATCAAGCCAAGACCTTCTTCCAAGGAAGGGCCTCATTTGTAATCGACTACAAATACTAGTGGATTCATTCAAATTGGGCCAGACCTCGTGATTTTTCTCCCCTTTTCAGGGGTTTCCACGTAAAAACTAGTGTCTCTTATGAACGCTACACCATCTCTCATATCTGCTTGTGTGCTGGATCTTCGTATAATGCTTAGACGTTAAACTATATATTCTCTACCGCCGCGAATACTCCAGGATGCAATAATAATATATATATTTCTATCTATATATATATATGAAAAGTTAATGAATTATCATATAATAATAGAGAAATTACAATAAAAAAGAAAAAAAAATGGAGGTTTGTGATAACTTTTCAATCTTTTCCATTAGATAATTCATGGTTATATTAAAAATAGTCTGAAAATTATTTTGAAATAAAACCCATTATATATTTATAAAACTAACATACTACTATAGTACTATCTATATTTATAAAAATACCACATAAATCTCAAACAACATAATAAAACTATTTTTTTTTTATTGAAATTTCAATGAGCTGATAATGATATACTTAAATATATAAATTTATTTTTTAAATAATATATTAGATATAAATAAATTTGGACGAAATGACAGATAAATTTTGCTAACATCTAAAGCATCGTTGAGTCTTCCTGCGCCGCCTCCTTCCTCTTCACCACTTGCGTGCCGCCGTCGTCTCCACTGGCGAGCAGCCAATTTCTCCGTTCCGCCTTATTTATTTCTAGCTCATATGGATCAAAATCTAGTTTCCGCTGCTTCCTTCTCCTCATCCCCGATTCTCGAAACCCTAGGCGAAGAAATCCTTCGAATACTCTACCCCGTATCTTTTTGCATGTTCCTCGTCGTTCTCCTCGTTTCGGCACTCATCTCCCCCGATAACTCATCCATGTCTCTCTCCTCCATCGCTAGTATCGCCTATTCCGAATCTTCGTCCGATTCCTTCTGGTCCAAGCTCTCCGGCGCCTTCTTGAACTCCCTCCTCTTTATTGCCGTCATCACAATCTTAACTTTCCTACTCGTCCTCCTCTTCTACCTCCGCTGTACTCCTTGCCTCAAATCCTACATGGCCTTCTCCTCCTTCGTTGTACTCTCCTTTCTCGGCGGCGAGATCTCCCTCCTCCTACTCTCCCGCTTCGTAGTTCCCATCGACGCGTTTTCCTTTCTCCTACTTCTCTTCAACTTCTCCGTTGTTGGAACCTTATCGGTTTTCCTCGCCAAGGCGCCAATTTCGCTTACCCATGGTTACTTGGTCATTATCGGTGTGCTTGTGGCTTATTGGTTCACGCTTCTTCCAGAGTGGACTACTTGGGCGCTGCTGATCTCCATGGCATTGTATGATCTCGCTGCTGTTTTGCTTCCAGTTGGGCCTCTTAGGCTTCTGGTGGAGCTAGCGATCTCGAGGGATGAGGATATTCCAGCGCTGGTGTATGAAGCTCGGCCGGTGGATACTCAGGCCGGTGGAAGGAGGTTGTGGAGAGAAAGGAGGAATCTTGAGGGCAATCCAATTTCTATGCCTGATAATGATTCTCTGAGGCATGAGAACCTAACACCTCAGACAACGATGACAATTACAGTGGAAGCATCAGATGAAGATTCTGCTAGTACTGAATTGGTAGCTCCATTGGTGTCACAGCAGCCAAGAAGGCAAGAGATTGAGGCGGCGGAGGGGATCGGATTGGGATCTTCTGGTGCCATCAAGTTGGGATTGGGGGATTTCATCTTCTACAGCGTATTGGTTGGGAGAGCAGCGCTGTATGATTTCATGACAGTGTACGCTTGTTATCTCGCCATTGTTGCTGGGCTAGGTGTAACTCTTTTGCTCCTTGCGTTCTACAGGAAAGCTTTACCCGCTCTTCCTGTATCAATAGCTTTTGGCCTGTTGTTTTATTTCTTGACAAGGGAATTGTTAGAACTGTTCGTTGTTCAGTGCTCGGTGAACTTGTTGATGTTTTGACGAGTATATATTGCTATGAACTAAGACCAAAGACTACTCTGTTTACTGAGTAATTCATGGACTTATCTTGCGACTACTTCATCTTATCACTCTCTGAATCTCCATAATTCATCATGAAATGGTTATTTGAGCAGGGAGAAATCCCACTACTGTTCTTTACTTTAACTTTCAACAAAAGCAATTTGACATTTTTTACTGTATATCATTCTTTGAAGTCAATTTACAGCATTCCCTTTCCATGATTATAGGTTGTTACTGATTTCTGTTACTTCCATTTATCCCTACTCATGTTGTTGTGCTCTTGTGACTGTGCACCACAATGTGCTTAATTTGTGTTAGAGGAGCTTGGTCAGAGAGGGCATTTGCCTCAGAAGATCTTGGCTAGAGCAAGTATGCACCCCGGAGGAGCTCTGGCTAGAGAAAGTATGGAACTTGAAGGAGCTTGTCCAAGAGAGGCATTCTTATAAAGAGCTCGACTAATACAAGGGTAGACACTCATCCCAAATATGCAGGGAGGAATGCGCCTCAACAGGCCTTGACCCAAGGAGGAACTCGCCTTAAAGGGGAGAAATTATTCTATGCGGAGTCCAGACAGGTGAACCGTCTGGATTTATTACATAATTACTGAGTATTTATTGTGTATTTTCAAATACATAGTTAATACTCAGCAAATACTCACTTGTGAGTATTAGTGAGTATCTTGTAAGTATTTGCTGAGTATTTTGTGAGTATTTTATGAGTATTTATTGATTTGTTGTGTATTTACTATTTATTTGAAAATGCACAGTAAATACGCAGCAATTCAGACGGTTCTTCCTGTCCGAACTCCTCACAAAATAATTTCCTAAGAAGATTCACCCTAGCCCAGGTTACTCATCTTTCTCACAAGGCCCCTTATCTAACTATATGATGTAAATCTCAACTCCATTGGAATGGCATCTTCAATCAAGCTAGTCCTTAGCTTAAAATAACTCACTTATAGCTTGCTGGAGGTACTTGCCAGACTTGCTCAAGCACTCACTAAGGCCACTCGTTGGAAGCACTTGCTAAAGGTATTTGCCAAGAGCAATCACCAGGACTATTCCAGAGCCACGACAGGTAGGTCGAGATATGTGCATCTATTATAATTGGTTTGTAACATTTAAATATTGTACTATTTTATGTTTTTTTTTTTTAAATGTGTAGCCTTTCACCCTTATAAATAAAGGGTTGGGGCGTATTTTTGAGACATTTTTTATTAGATTAGATAAATTATTAATCGATTGAATAAAATTAATTTAAATTATGTGAGTATAAGTTGGATGCATTATTTCTTGGAGTGGAGTAAAATTGCAAATATCAAGTTTTAGGATAAGTCATTTTCTTGTACTGGCGTGAGGCTTGGATTTCTTACTTTGATAACTTTTTATTTTAAACTAATGTATTTTTCATAATTTGTTATTAGTTTGTAAATCCTTTTAGTTTTGTTCAAATTTGAACAAGTAATGATTAAATAATGGTAAGGTGTGCTATTATGAAGTGTGACGGTTGGTAGCCGATTGATTAAGTGAGTAGCCGTGTGTAGAGCATCAGCCCATAGAGACGCCGGAGCATGGGAGTGAAAAAGAAGACTACGAACGGTTTCAAGAAGATGTCTATTTTTCCGTTCGGCGACGCCATTTTGAGCAGGTGTGTACGGACAAGTGTATTGATGGCGAATTCCTTGTTGAATGCAGTAGGCTTTGAAGACGTTATTGAGGTATTCACCTCCACCGTCAGTTCGAATTGTGCGTATATTTAGATTGAATTGACAGTTAATGAATTTATGAAAATTAATAAAGATACGCGTAACTTCAAACTTGTTAGTTATAGGATAAGCCCAAGTGTATTTAGTAAAGTCATCAATGAACGTCACAAAGTATCGATATCCTTGCATAGAAGTGTGAGGGGACGGACCCCAAACATTAGAGTGTACAAGTTCGAATGGCGTGGAGGTAGTAGTAGTAGAGGGTAAAAACGAAAGACGTTTGCTCTTGGCAATGTTACAGGTATTGCAAAACTTATTAAAAGAATCAGTACATATGCTGGGTTGAGATCGAGCAAAACTGCGAACGGTGGGGAAGGCGGGATGACCGAGTCGTTGATGCTAGAGATTAGGAATGGCTTGAACTGAAAGAAGAGCAAGCTTGAAGGTAGAATGATTGTGCGGTATTCTGTAGAGACCGTTATGACATGTGCCTTGAAGAAGAAGACGCTTGGTCGTCAAATCCTTGATTTGGTAAGCATCAGGAGAAAATGAGATAATGCAGTTGTTATCACGAGCTAATTTGTGAACAGAAATTAAGTTGAATGCAAGATTCGGTACATGATGAATCTTGTGAAGAAATAAAGTACCTGATGGTGTAGGTAGTATCCCATTACCTGTGTTCTGAATTGGGAGCTGCCTACCGTTGCCCAGAGTGACTTGTGAAGATCCAGTGTATGGTTCGGTGTTGTTTAGTGTAGTTGCATCCGCCGTGAGATGTACTGAAGCGCCACTGTCCAAGAACCAGTCGTTCTGTCTTGGATTTTCCGATGGACTGAACAGGGCTTGCGTTTGGTTTGATTCGGTGTAAGTAGGATCAGTGCGGTACCAACAGCGGATTGCCGAATGCCCATATTTGTTGCAGATTTGGCACGTAACATTGCGATTCGAAGAGCGATCGCCACGGACAGGTTGCTGTGGAGACCGACGACCACGAGCACCGCGATTTGGGTTTGCACGGCCACGTCCTCGGCCACGGGAGACTGAGAGAGCTAAAGTTTTATCGGTAAGATTTAAGGCCTGAAGATCTTGAGATGCATCTTGTAAGATGTTTTGTTCTTCACTACAAAGAAGGCTGTAGAAGTCATCAAGATTCAGTGGTTGAAGGTTTGTTCGTATAGTCGTCTTGAAGGACTGGTAGGAGGACGGGAGACCGTTCAGCATATATAATATAACGTCTTCGGGGTCGATCGTGCTGCCAGCGGCCGTAATAGCGTCAACTTTTGCTTTCACCTCAAGAAGATATTGAGACATGAGTTTGTCTCCTTTGGACATATGGTGGAGCTCATTTTTGAGCTGAATGAGGCGAGAACGAGTGGTAGATTGAAGTCTGTGAGCCAAGGTTGTCCAGATTTCATGGCAGTTGGATGCGGTTAGAACATATGGGAGAATTGAAGGAGTAATGGTAGAGAAGAGAGCAGCGGATAGGTGTTGATCTATTAAGGTCCAGGAGTTTTGTTGAGGAGGATCAGTTGAACCAGCAGAGGTAATGGAGCTGGATGGACAAGAAGAGGAACCATCAAGAAATCCGTTGAAGTTGTTTGCGGTAAAGATCTTCTCAACTTGGGTCCGCCAGATAGGATAATTATCAGAGGTGAGAAGAGTGGGAACAAGGTTCTTGATGTTGCTTATGAGAAATTTTAGGTGAGGAGGTATAATGGGAACGGTGATTTGCGGGTTGGGTTGAGTGGTGGATTGGGAGGTTGAAGCTGATTCCATGAATGTAGAGAAGAAAGAACATAGATGGGAGAAGAAAGGATGAAACCGAAAGAGTGGATTCAGATTTCTTACCTAATCTTCTGATACCATGATGAATCTGCAAAGGCGGTAAAGCTGCAGAAAATAAAGAAGCTAAAGTCAGAAACTAAAGATGGATATGTATATTAAAACTGAATGACTTTACAAAGATATACAGTTCCCTATTTATAGACTTTAGGCCATAGGTTCATATTCAGCTTTTGCCTTTACACGTGTCAAGAACTGTTCTTTCTTGTTTGTGCTTTAACATGCCCCTGCAAACTGATAGACAACGATGACAAGGAGTTGTCTATCAGTTTGGGAAGAAGAAATTGAAATCTGGAAATTGGTAAAGCTTTGGTAAACAGATCAGCCAACTGGTCTGTGGAAGCAATGTGATGAAGCTGAATGGTTTGATTTTTGATACATTCTCTAATAAAGTGACAGTCAATGTCTATATGCTTCGTTCGGGCGTGGTAGACTGGATTATTAGCTAGAGCAATTGCCGACGTGTTGTCACAGTATAGAGTAGTGGGTTGATGCTGAGTGCAGCCAAGCTCGTGAAGGAGGCGGCGGAGCCAAATGATTTCTGTTGCGGTCGAGGCTACAGCACGGTATTCTGCCTCGGTGGATGATCGGGCTACGGTCGTCTGTTTCTTTGCACTCCAAGATATCAAGGAAGAGCCGATGAATATACAGTAGCCGGTGGTTGATTTCCGGTCGGCCTGATCTCCAGCCCAATCAGCGTCTGTGTAGGCTCGAAGAGTGAAGGAGTCATGCGGAGCTAAAGAAATTCCGTAGCTGAGAGATCCACGTATGTATCGTAAGATGCGTTTGAGTGACTCGAAATGAAGATCTGTAGGTTGGTGCATGTGTTGGCATGCTTTATTGACAGCGTACGTTAGATCGGGGCGAGTAAGGGTGAGATATTGAAGTGCGCCAACGATCTGACGATATAGTTTGGGGTTGGAGAATGGTGTGGATGTGGTTGAGTTGCTGATTTTGAGCTGTGTTGGAGTTAGTACCGGTTTGCTGTTGAGCATACCGGCCCATTGGAGGATGTTTTCTGCGTATTGACGTTGATGCAAACGGATGCCAGTCTCAGTTGGATCTGCCGAGATGCCCAGAAACTGCTTGAGTCGGCCAAGATTCCTCATGTGGAATCTGTTCTGTAGAGCATGGAGCAAGCTGTCTAGCGTAGCTTGGTGATTTCCTGTCAGGATGATATCATCTACGTAGACTAAAAAATAAATGTTATGACCATTTTTGCAATATATCAAGAGTGATGGATCGGAGTTACTAGTGGTGAATCCTTGTTCGTGTAAGAAACCGGTGAGAGTTTCGAACCACTGACGCGGCGCCTGTTTAAGCCCGTAAAGCGCTTTATTGAGTTTACAAATGTGAGTGGGATGGTTTGCATCGAGATAGCCTGGTGGTTGCTTCATGTAAACAATGTCATTAAGTGTACCGTGTAAAAAAGCATTTGACACATCTAATTGGCAGATATTCCAATTATTATGAAGAGCAAGAAGTAATAGGACATGTAGTGTTGACATTTTTGCGACAGGGCTAAATGTTTCAGTGTAATTTAAACCAAATTCTTGATTGTATCCTAAGGCGACGAGGCGGGCTTTGTAACGAGCAATTGTTCCATCGGCATTGTATTTGGTGCGGTAGGTC